AACCACCGCTCGTCTGTCACTCTGTCGTACAGTGCTGGCTTGTGTGTTGCTGAGGCTGGAGGCTCTGTGACCAGTATTGCCAGCAGGGTCACTCATGGTGGACGGGTTTCGCTGGAGCTTCCAGGCTAAGACTGACTCAGAAGAAGGAAGGGGCCATCCACTTCCCAAAGAATTGCCCAGTGAAAAACTTACGAATAGCACTGAAACACTGCCTGATACATTACTGGAAAACTTTATAAATAGCTCTGAAACATTGTCTGATAAAGTGCCAGGAGATGAGCCCCTCAGGGCGGAAGGCACTCAAAATATGACAGGGGAAGAGCTGCCTCCTCAAAGGAGAGCCGACCTTAATGACATGGATGGAGGAAAGCTTTTGGGACCTCCATTTGCTGATGGGCATGACTCACAATGGGAAAAAACAGATGCAAACAGCCATTAATAATCAGAATATGCAAAGTACAAAGTACAAATCTAGGAAAATTAGAAGTTGTCAAAAAGGAAATGGAACGGATAAAGATTGATACCCTGGCATTAGTGAGCTGGAAAGGACTGGATTTGGCCATTTTGACTCAGATAATCATATGATCTACTATGCTGGGAATGCCAAATTGAAGAGGAATGCCATGACGTTCATTGTCACAAAGAATGTTTTAAGATCTATCCTGAAGTACAATCCTGTCAGTGATAGCATAATATCCATAGGCCTCCAAAAAAGACCAGTTCATACTAAACTAAAAAAAAAAAAAAAACCCAAACTCACTGCCGTCGAGTCGGATCCAACTCATACCCACCCCTCCTTGGGTTTCCAAGGTGGTATCACTACAGAAGTAGATTACCCAACCTTCCTTCCAAGGAGTGGCTGGTGGGTTTAAACCAACAGCCTTCCGGCTAGCAGTCAAGTGCCTTAGGCACTGTGCTACCAGAGCAGAACTATAGAAACACTTTAATAGAGACTTTCCCATTATCAATTCTTGCTCCTCTTTCACAAAGTACCCCCCCATTAATTCACTAAGACCTCAAAACAGCCCTTAAGATATGTAGGACTGAGATTACTGTTCATATTTGACGTAAGAGGAGGCAAAGTGCTGTCTATCTGAAGACACCTTGTTTCTCATGTCTGCCCCTTGAACACCACACAGGTACCACAGCAAAGCAGCTAAGAATACGGGCTCTTGGGCAACTATTTGAACTTGAATTAAGGTTCAAATCTAAGCCGCATCCCTTACTCACCATGTCATTTTGACCAAAGTACTTGACTCTCCTCAATGAATATCTGTATTTTTTTTTTTTTGCAGAAAACCCCAAGTCCTGGCTCATCAACTTCAGGGATTCTATGTGGGATCTCATCAAGAGCTCCATACCTCCAGCGGCCATTTTGGCTTTTCTTATCACCGCAGCCCTAATGGGAACTCTGTGCTGCCTCACGTAAGCTGTTATGAGATGGGGGGCGGGGCACGGGAAGGACAGGCACCATCAGGCTCGCCACCTGCAGCTAAAGGAAGTTTGAAGGAAGAGGATTCAGGGAACCAAACTCTGAATGGCCATGCAACCCCTTCTGCAAAAATCCTTTTTTTTTTTTTTTTTTAAATCCAATCTGTTCTGGCCATTACCAATGACTGACAGGTAACATTTAATGACCTGTATTTTCAACTGATTATTTTATTAACTTCATTAAGTCCCCATTTTCCTTCCCGTTGCCTCTGGAACTATACATGGAAAATATACCAAGTTTACCAAACGATTTTTCTACATGTAAAATATCAATCCAATATTAATCCAGAGGAAAACAAAATAGTTAGGATTGACTTGTATCCAAAGAGATTTCTGAGGAAAACAAAATAGTTAGGCATACCTAGAAAAGCCCAGATTCTGTTAATCCAATCAGTATTTACCGAGAGATGACTACTTGCCTAGCTCAAAAGACAGAGAAGTAAAATGATTAAATAATTACAAACTGGTCAAATTGGGGATGGATTCCAAGTGGAATAACCTACAAAAGATGCTATGGAATACATTTCACCTGTGATCAACAAAGGTATTAAAAAGAAACGATGTCAGGGAACAGTTAATCAGTTTTCAAGAAGAAATGAAAGGAACAGAGAGAGACGAGGAAGAACGGGGCTCTGCAGGGCTGGAAAAGCCAAACTGGCCCGAACTCCGCAGCATGTAGTAGGGTTACAAGGGCTTTGCTTGCTAAAGGACTATTCAGATTTCACAGTCACAAGATAAAGTGGCTGAGGGAACAGATCAGATTAAAGCTGTGGCATCGCCACCTATGACTCCTAATAGTCTCAAAAGTCATCAGGATTAAGAACTGTGTCTAGGAAACAATCTTGGGTATCGTTGCTGGCACACAGAAATGATTGGAGCCGTCGACTTTAGAAGTTGGCTAAGCTTTTGAGAGAGGTGCACTGCCAAAGAAATCGTGAGCCAGAGCTCAATGGCCCACCAGTTGTTTGAGCCTTAAAACAATATTTGGACCTCTGGCCTTCACGAGAAAGACTCCGGCTTTGAAGACTGCCCAGCCCCTAGCAGGTCATGCCCCACAATGCACGCTTCAGGTGAAGTCCGAGACAATAATGGACAGGAGGAACCTCCCACAGTGGCGACAACAGACCTCCTAGAAAGTTGGAACCGGGCCTAATCCATGTCTGCGCAGCAAGGTGTCACGTTGCTATAGAGCAGTGACTGCTGTGTGCCTTCCGTTCTTCGTTCCACACAGGTGTCTTTATGGTGATTAGCTTCTTCCTGCTTCATAAAATTGTACATGGGCGATGAGAGCAGGGCTCAGATAGCTTTTGTGCCAGTTCATAGGTCACTTAATCAAGAAGATCCACACCCAGACTTGCCAGAGCCCAGTATCATCCAGATACTCTGGACTTTGAGCTGGACACAATGATGAATGGGATTTTGGACTTGGAGTAGAGGTGTGGCACAGGTCAGGTGTACTAGAATTGGACCTGGAGACAGGAGTTTGGCATTCAAAATATTTATTTACAGATCATCTTCTGTGCAAGGGAAGAGGAGAAGTTAAGCTATCTTGCAAGCTCAAGAAAACCTCAGTTGACCCCACAGGGAACATGTGGGCTGGCCTACCAAAACCAAACCAAACTCGCTGATGTCGAGTCGGATCCGACACATAGCGACCCCTCCTTGGGTTTCCAAAGTGGTATCACTACAGAAGTAGATTGCCCAACCCTAGGAAGTACAAAGCAGCTGTCTGCAGACTCTGAAGGGCTAATAGCTAGAGGCTGTCTACTGGCTGCATCTTGAGCAGCTACGGAAAGAACGTCAATCAAAAGAGAATTTGGGTGGTGTATTTCCATGTTGGGAGCTCTGGTAGTGTAATGCCTAAGGCACTTGACTGCTAACCAGAAGGCTGGAGGTTCAAACCCACCAGCCACTCCTCGGAAGGAAGATGGGGCAATCTACTTCCGTAGTG